ACCAATACTAGAACATTAACTCCATGTGATTAAGCCTTAGCTCTCCAGTTTTTATTCTCCAATAATGCATTTTTTCTTAGTTTTCTTCACTTTTATTTTGTCTGCTTATGACAAGGTTTTCTGACTGCTTCAATTTCTGTTATATTAACCAAATCAGCTTATTTTGTTTTTATTTACTGAACTTGAAGCTTTTCCCTTTAACAATAAAATGAACCCCCCTTTGATTTTCTCCTGTAATTAATACTTTCTGTGCAATAACTTTAGAAAACAAAGGCACTGTATAATGTTTGTTTAAATTTTATAAAAGGAAAACTATGATTTGCAACTAGAGTATCTCTCAAATCCTTCCTCTAATTCGCTGGGCTACATGGACTTAGCTTTGCATACAAAAACTTGATTTAGAAAATAGAAACATTTGATGATTTCCATAACCCTTCCCAATTTTCCTCCTATACCCAGCACCTCCTCCAGCAAACTCAGGAAGATGGTAAAGGGCCAGGTCTATCTGGCTTCATTTTCCTTTCCTCTACCAAAGCTGTATCACAAAAGCATCCCCTTAACTTCTTTTAAATTTCTATTTTTAACTACAATTTCTCCATCACCACCATCCCTGCCACCTCCAAACATTATCAACAAAACGTTTAACCCATCAGTTTTGTGGAAGAAGTTGAGTTTTGCAAAGGAGACCTTATAGTACTTTGCATTTTTCAAGTCTTCTGAATCCTCATTCAAATACAGATTGTAGAAATTAAAATGATAGCATTTTATTTGAGTTATAGCAAATGCAAAGTGTGGGCAATTTGGGATCTTTGATTTTAGATTCAGTTGAAAAGGACATTTTCAGACAGCTGAAACAAAATAGACTTTGGGAAAACTGATATTAAGGAGTTGTTGATTGTTCATATTGTTGACTGTAAGGATGGTATTGTGGTTACATTGTTAAAAAGTCTTTACCTGTTATACATATATAGTAAAATATTTATGAGTGAAATGTAATTTCTGAGATCTATTTTAAATAACTAAAAAATACTCTGTTTTCTTACTTTTTGGCTCTGGAGAAAGCCTATAGGTTGAATTTGAGCATGTGTCCATTTTTTACTTGCTAACTCTAATTCTAACTTGTGGCTCTACTTTGCCTGAGCAATGAAATTTAATAAACTTTTGAACCTTTTGCTTGGAGTATATTTTAAGAATAGTATATTAATTAACCCGTTATATACTCTATTCAATCACTCAAATATGGGCGTTCTCATTTTGGATATACCTAAAAAGCATTTTTACTTATTTTCATTTAATGTATTTTTAAATCAACTCCATTTCAAACTTAAATATATTTGAATGAAAACTTCAAATTGTATTGTAAGTGGATAACATGCTTATTCAAATCCACATAAAAAATAGATGACAGTAAAAGAAAAATATTCAATGCACCACCTAAAAATATTTTCGAACACCGTTGGTAGTAAGTATAACACAATTTCAGAAGCTCAACATGTGTTTTGAAATTGGAGATACACCATAGTATGAGACTAAAAACAAAAAACATAATTTTCACCTTTGGAAATAAATATTCAAATAATTAGCGACTATAATAAAAGTTTATCAGCTATGCTCAATTTAGTTAAATAAGTATAAATTAAAACAACAATAAATCACTTTTTACCCATAAAAGTGGTAATAATATTAAATGTTGCTAATACCTTGTGTTGGCAAGGGTGTGGGGAAACAAGTATTTGTATACACTCCTGATAAATTAGCACATCTTTCGAAGGCCAATTTGGCCATATATATATCAAAAATGTTAATACATCTTCACAAGGATTCAGCCATTTCTACTTTTAGACAAAGAAAGTAATACTATAGTTATTATTCTATAAGAAAACAAAGATGCTTTTAAAACAATGTTCTTTGCCACATCTCGTGTAATAGCAAAAATAGTGGTACATATGAACAAAGAACTATGCAGCATTGAAAAGAATGAAGCGATATGGAACAATGCCAATAAATATAGTTAATTATTAATTTCATTTTTAAAAGGTAGATGAAGAGTATACATTTTCAGAAGATCTATGTGTGCTATAAAGTTCCATTTTTCCCTGTGAAAGGATAGCAGAGATATTTGAAGGGTACACCTCCTGGGAGAGAGATGAGGGTGGACCATTGAGGTGAATAAGAGAGATGCTGTTAAATATTTACATGTCTGTACTCTTAACTTTTGAGAAACCTTATGCATGCATTTTTTTCCCTCTGTTAACAAAGATTCTCTGGGTGCTGGGATGTTTTTGTTTGTTTTATTCTTCATTCTTTTTTTTTAAACAAATAAAGATTTCAATAAAATTTTTAAATGACAAATCACTAGCCTTTTTGAATGGAAGCAGGGTAACCAATGTTAGATTGTGCATTATATTATCTTCTAGTTAATTATTGCATATCAGGGGCTGACATTGTTCATTTTCGAACGATTGCTTCATAGCTCAAAAACTGTAGAATCTGCTCCGGGAATGCTTTTCCCACGTAGTTCCCAGTTTATCTCCTTAAAATGAAATTGGAACTGTTTTCTCCCACATGAGAATATTGAGATGAAGAAAAAAAAAAAGGTAGAAGATTTGATCTGAAAGAAGATAAGGTGTAAAAGAGAGGATACGGTAGGAAGATGAATTTGGGAATCAAACGTGTCTCTGTGACGGTGAAGTCTGTCTTAATAAGACGTCCCTACATAGATGATGCCTCAAAGAGGCTGACTGTAGGAGGGAAACCAGAAACCAAGATAGTTGCCCCACAGAATAAAACTAGCACCTTATGACCTTAGATAGTATTTCTAATGGTGGTCAAGGGCTTTTTAGCAAACACCTTCACCTCAATTTTCCTACACTGGAAAGAAAGAAAATGTCATCTTTCTAGGGTTTTCATTTTAAAGTAATTTGTGAATATCTAAACTTCCTTATTCCAATTACGCTCTGAGGACATGGAACTGCTTGTAATTTTTAGTACATTAGTTGTCCTGTCTTCATTCTTTGTGCACGTTTTTCTCTTTGCAGAGAACTCTTTCCCCTAATTTGTTCTCTTTGAAAATGCTTACATCTTTCTTTTCTCAGCTGGAATTTCCCTCCTCTATGAAGCCTTCCCTGACTCCACAGGCAGAGGCGGCGATTGCTTTTCCCGTGACGTTTTGTTCACACCCACATTACAGCAATTATTTTATTGCACTCTAAGCTTCCTGTTTTTATGCCTCTGTCCCCTCTATGCCTTAGGTTGCTTGAAAATAAAGAGACAGCCTTTCAGTTAAACTGAACAAATGTATGCATGAATAATGGAAGGAATAATCCAATGAGAAAGTAATTACATGCAATGGATGCAAATAAAATGCTTAGCTTTTCCGGTTAAGGTATTATCATCATTTATTCAAAAATATGTATTAAAGGTCTACTATGCATCAGGCACTCTGCCAGGTACCAGGAACAGAGCAGTGCACAAAGGAGAACGTGTTTTGCTCTCTTAGGGCTTGCAAACTTGCAGGAGATCGAGATATGGATCTGGAAACCATACTCCTAAGTGAAGTGTAATGGGGGAATGAAAGCAGAGCCCTCAGGTATTAGGGACTTCCACTGGCTTCACCCCAGTCTAGTGGAAGTCAGGGAGGTCTCCCTGAAGAAGTGATGATGTGTTACTGAGAGAGGAAGGATGCTAGGGGTAAGAATTGGAAAGCAGAGAAGTTGTTGCAGGGCTACTGGCAAGAGAAACATGGGGCTTTTGAGGCAAAGAAAGAAATGCAGTTGGTTGGAGGGTGGTAAGCAAGGAAGAGAGTGTTAAAGAATGTATAATATCAGAATATCTGAAAATTTTGCAGTTTACAGTATTATGAACAAGAAAACTATATGGTGAAGGACATAATTGTATTATCCGATCCCCTTGTATGGAAATCATCTTTACCCAGATAATTTTCTAAAAGTGATTTTTACACTTGGGTCAGTTAACTGGGGCTATGCATGTTCAGAAGAACCCCCTGGAAAGTGTGTTAAAAATAACTGAGTTGAATCTGAAGACATAATGTTGAGTGAAAGAAGTTAGACATAAAGAGTTAAATACACTGTAGTTCAAAAACAGACAGAACTAATCTATGGTTTTAGAAGTCAGGATAGGTGGTTACCCACAGAACGGGGAGGGTAATGACTATAAGGTAAGTCAGAGGGAACTTCTGAGAAAGGATAATCTTTCATTTATTGACATGAATACAGATTATACAGGTATATTCACTTTGTGAAAATTCATCTAGCTATAAACATGTACTTTTCTGTATGTACTTCAACATTACAATTACTGAAAAAAATTTTTTTTTAAAAGAACTGTGTCAAGAAAACACAGGAGCCAGCTTTAAAAGGCCCACACAAGACCAAAGGTGAACCAATGTAAGTATCATAATAATAGGTATTGCGGATTAAAACACATTAAATCAATGAAACTCTGCAAGTTATAATGACACTCAAATACAAAGAAATAATTGCAAATTATTCATCATCCTTTGAGCTAAAAGAAGAACCATACCTCCTTGCTTTCCCAGGAGAGTTCTGACTTAATTATTAATAGCACCCACTTTTATTCTCAGATTGTCCCTGTTTGGCTGATAAATTATATATTATCTCACTAATAAACCAGCTCCTTATTTTGTATGAGTAAATTGGCAAATGAAGGGAAAGAATTAACCATTTATCCTGTCTTCTCAGGGTAACTAAACAGACTCAAACGAAGAGACTAAGGCTTATTTTACAGAAGTTTTCAGCGGATGGACCTAAAATAGAATTAAAAAGTTATCTTTCTTCAAACTGTAACCGATGTATTTACTTATTCAGATAAAGATTATCAATTGTTAAAAATATTATTTTAAATTTATTATTATGGTTAATAGAGAATGAGATATTCCTAGTTTCCAAAATAACA